TGGGCACAGTATGCACTGTGAGCCTGACACAGAAGCTGGCAGCAGTGGCAGACAACTAAGTGCATTTACATTACATAGAAAAATAAAATAAAAAAAAGCATACCCTTATCCCTAACCTAGCTATGCTTTTCCCTATCTTATGAACAGCAGCTACACTTTCCCTCCTCTTACTAAGCATGCAGCTTGAGAATGAATCTAAAATGGATGCTGTCCAGTAGGTGGGAGGGTCTGCTAGGGAGGCTGTGCTGCTAATTGGCTGGAATGTGTCTGCTGACTGGGAGGTACAGGGTCAAAGTTTACTCAATGATGACGAATAGGGGGCGGGTCGAACCGCGCATATGTTCGCCCGCCGTGGCGAACGCGAACATGCTATGTTCGCCAGGAACCGTTCGCCGGCGAACCGTTCGGTACATCACTATTTATGTGTGAAGAGCATGTCCACTTTTTTCATTTTGCATTCTTATTGAGCTGTGATTGGAAATCCACATAACGCCTTGGCGGGGTTAGAAGAGGAGGACTTGCAAAGGTATTCACCAAAACCAAATCATGTGTCTAATCATCTAATATGTCTAGGACTTGCCCCAAGAAGCACGTGCCAAACGGAGCTACCTGCGTAGCCGCTTACCAATCTGGTTATATCAGCCTGAAACACAATACAAGCTACAACTTGAGAAAATGGCAAATAGCATGAATGTGGAGAGGAGGGCTTATATCACGTATTTTATTATTTTAGGAAAACATTTTAACACATGTTATGTTTTAAATGTGCCAAGAAATCTAATAAATGTTTATTCCATTTATGTTTAAACATATGCTCCCCATGCTTGGCAGGTAGGGTTTCATATATTCTCTGATTTTATTGCATCCTTAAACCAGTTCAGTACCATCTCTTTATTTTCATTCACCCATCTAATGTTTGCTTTAGTCTTCTCTATGGCTTGTTCCAACGATTGAGCAGCTGTTCCAAACCCACTTTCTTGGTTATCAAATTTGAACTGCTCCAGCTAAAAAACAAGAAGCACGAAACAACATGAACATGATCATCTATTTAATTCAGCGTAGTATTTGTAGTATGTACAAATTCAATTTTACTGTACTATTTAAACACATTAACACTCCATATACAATGACCATGTCATAATGCAATGGATAGATTAATTCTCTAGTTATCAATTTGTCTAGTAATGAATGGGAAGAAAATATTGCTTTAACAGACAGTGAGAACTAAATAGTGTGTAACACGTGTGTAACAGATAAGTGTACAGCATATCCAGACTTAGCTTTAGAAATGTCATATCCATGAATTAATATGTCATTGTGCCGGGAGGAGGATAAAGCTTTTCTTAATGTCTGCTGGTTTTTCTTGATTATTGTTGTTTAAATACATTTCCAGTGAACCGAGTGATACTTTCCCCCCCAGTAAACATTTATATTTCTTACCTGTTGCAGATCGAAGTCAGTGGAGAAACGGAGAGTCACCTGTTCAAGTATGTTACGAAAAGAGAAAGTGGACCCTCCAAGCCTTTAAAGGAAATTCATAGATAAATACAGAATTATTAGATAAACTCTCGGATATTAATTTTTTTTTTGGGGGGGAGGGGAAGAGGGGGATGGTGGGGGAGAGCACTGGCAACTTTTAGCCTGGGGGGTGGGGAGTATAAATGAATGGCCATTTTTGTGCACAACAGTTAAGGAATTCTGAGTGGATAGTACTTGCTCATACAGTGCATGCAATATTTCAGTTTGGCACATGGAGACAGGGAGAGTTGCATGCTGTGAGATCAGCTTCCATTTGTATAATGCACGGTGTGACAGAACACTCACATAGATGGATGCATGTCTTATAGACTCTGCCTGATTCCTGCTGCACCAATACAATGAGTAACGACCTAGGCATTTGATGGGTGTCCTGAGCAATGTCTCATCTCACTTAGCTACTGCTTGCAAACACCGCCAGGGACACCATACGACATATACTCATCATAGTCTGGGAGCAGGGTAATAATATCCCCTGCAAGAGCCACTATCAAACATTGTTTCAAAATGGAACATTTCTCAGAGTTGGCTATATTTCAGGTTTAGCTATTTTGGCTTTAAACTTATAATTCACTTTGAATTCCTGACAATTCTCTCTTCAGTGAATAGACCTGCAAGTTTTAGCTGCTTAAATAGGGCGGGAAAATATGAGGCTTAAATAATCGAAAAATTCTATATTCACACTCAATTTTGCCATTCAGATTTGGGATTTTGTGAATAGCCCTGTTAACCAATAGGCCTCCTGGAAGATTAGGGCACCTAGCTTCATTATGTCCTTTTAAACATGTACACACAGCACATGGCAGTGACATATAGTGTGGTATCAGTAGCATTACATTGTGTAATAACACAGAAATACAATTAGGATATCAGCTTTATAATCTTCTGCAATGTATTAACATCTCTGTGAAATCTTCGGTACATCAGATGTGTTTATTAGGCACACTTCACATTTGTTTTAGGACAAATGCAAATTCAGCTAAATTCATTGTCACTGCCATTTAGATTGGTTCATTCATCCAAAACACAAATTAATGAATCTCTTATATAATGAAAAAAGAATTGCTTCTTTTCGGTTGGAGTTGTATGGATTATGAAGGAGCGCGTCAGCCTGATGAAGAGGCATTCTAGAGCTTACAACCCCTTTGTAATTCAATGAACTAGCTTTTTAACTCTGAATAGACCTACAGTGAGGGATACAAAATTTTTTTGATCCCCTGCTGATTTTGAACGTTTGTCCACTGACAAAGAAATGATCAGTCTATAATTTTAATGGTAGGTTTATTTTAACAGTGAGAGACAGAATAACAAAAAAATAAATAAATCCGGAAAAACGCATGTCAAAAAAGTTATACATTGATTTGCATGTCAATGAGGGAAATAAGAATTTGACCTTTGACTTAGTACTTGGTGGCAAAACCCTTGTTGGCAATCACAGAGGTCAGACGTTTCTTGTAGTTGGCCTACAGGTTTGCACACATCTCAGGAGGGACCACATACAACATGTACTTATCCTAGTCTGGGAGCTTGGTAGACAGTGGCACCAGTACAAATTCCATATTAACTATTGTTACAAAATGGAAAATTCCTCCAAGTCGGCAATCTTTCAGGTTTAGCTACTCCGGCTTTAAATTTAGAATTCACTTTGATTTCCTGACAATTCTTTCTTCAGTAAATAGACTTCAGGTGTTAACTGATTAAATATTAATGGCAAAATCGGAGATAAAATAATTGATTTAGAAAAATTCTTAATTCACAACTCAATTTTGCCATTCACGCTTGTTAAACAATACTCTAGCTGGAAGGTTAGGGCAACTAGCCTCATTATGCCCCTTTAAACGTGTCCACACAGCACATGGCATCCATAAAACAATTGTGGAACTGCACTTAGACTCTTCCTCTCAGGAATCCTTGGGTGCTAACCGGATCAGTCCCAGTATCAAAGGACCAAATGTAGAGTTAAATATAGAAAGTAATCCAGGCACTCCAAAGTATCCCAAACAAAGGCAACTTTATTGGACCCATGAACCAAAATACAGCACATGGCAGTGACACACAGTATGGCAACAGCAGCATTAAATTGTCTCATAACACAGAAATACAGTTGTAATTTGCTAGCAGGGGGAATATCAGCTCTATAATCATCTACAATGTATTATTATCTCTGTGAAATCTTTGATTCAATCGGACGTGTTTGTCAGGTACACTTCTGTATTTTTTTTTAGGACATTTAGTCAAATTCATGGTCACTGCCATTTAGATTGGTCCATTCATCCAAAAGATAAATTAATTAATCTCTTATGTAACAAAAAAAATAGTTAGTTCATCCATAGAGTATATTTTTTCTTTAGTTAATTACGACGGAGCTTGTAACTTATCTTACTTTAGGAACGAGGCAGCAAACAGAAGAATTGCCTAGCGCTCCCCATTATCTTCCATTGTACTTAGATTACAATATGTAAAATGGGGGGACCTTATACAGGGTCCGCCAAATTAATTATAATTTTCTTCATTAAACATCTTTGGTGTTTGAATTGTGTGGAGCTTACAACCACTGTGTAATCCAATGATCCAGCTCTTTAACTGTGGATAGACCTATATACAGAGATCTCTTGGACATATGAATATTGTTGTTTATATTTATTTACTTTTAGTGTTCTGGGGAATAATCCTGCATGGAAATACTCTGTTCTAAAATCAGGGCAGTACTGCCAGATACAGGTTAGCTAGTAGGTGTGCGTTATAAATAGGCAGCAATGGATGTTCAAGAATCCTAAAGAAAAGATACTCACTCATTCACAATGGTTTTCCACTTAGCTCTCACAAAATCCCATCCAAGACTCTGTCCTATCACATTGCTACAAACACTGTTTATGGTGGAGACAGCATCTTGTCGACGAATCTTACTGGTATTCAGCGAATATTCCAGGAGTCTGTAAATAAAAACACAGTACTAACCTAAATGGTGTATTTTCCAAATATTCCTGATTCAAGTCAAATTTACAGAAGCAAGATCCATAACACTGACAGTAGTAACAGTGCAATAACAGTGTGTGTATCTGTGTGTAGTGTGTGTGTGTGTATCTGTATGTTTATCTGTGTAGTGTGGTTATCTGTGTGTTTGTATGTGTGTAATGTTTCTAGTGTGTGTTTGTATGTGTGTCTCTGTGTATGTGTAGTGTGTGCGTGTATTTGTGTGTGCGTCTGTATGTGTAGTTTGTGTATACTGTATTTGTGTAATGTGTATCTGTGTGTGTCAGTGTCTATATGTGTCTGTGTGTATGTCTGTATGTCTGTGTATCTGCAGGCGTATCAGAGTATCTGTACACTTGTATGTGTGTCAGTAACTGCATGTGTGTCAGTTTGTGATTAGTCATGTCCGGAACTGTTCGCCGAACGGTTCGCCGAACGGTTCGCCACAGACTCATCATTGAGTAAACTTTGACCCTGTACCTCACAGTTAGCAGACACATTCCAGCCAATCAACAGCAGACCCTCCCTCCCAGACCCTCCCACCTCCTGGACAGCTCACTAAGAATGCAGCTTCACAATGGATGCTGTCCAGGAGGTGGGAGGGTCTAGAAGGGAGGGTCTGCTGCTGATTGGCTCGAATGTGTCTGCTGACTGTGAGGTACAGGGTCAAAGTTTACTCAATGATGAGTCCGTGGCGAACCGTTCATGGCGAACCGTTCGCGAACCGTTCGGCGAACAGTTCGGGACATCTCTATTTGTGATACATATACTGACACACATACAGTTGCACAGATACACTAACACACATGCAGATATACAGATATACAGACACACAAACACTGCCACACATTCAGATACATAGACAAACAGATACAATCACTGACACACATACAGATACAGACACACAGATACAAACACTGTCACACATGCATATACACAGACACAGTGTATAGGTAAGTGTATTGGCTGCTGTGCACACACAGACACAAGCTACAACCCCAGCATCCACAGACAGACGTTACATCCCCAGCACACACAGACATATACTACATCCCCAGCACACACACAGACACACTACATCCCCAGCACACTCACAGACACACACTTCATCCCCAGCACACCCACACAGAGACACTTCCATTGCAGAAGCACATATGTTGTTTATTTTTTTTTGGGGGGTGTGGGGGGTGAGGGGGTTCTCAGTCTTAGTTCTATCTTATCGCCTTCCTCTGTTGGCGTGTTACATAATATTTTTCCTTCTTTATCAATGTCTTTTCTTTTTCTGTTCTCAGTCCAGGATTTACGTATTTACTAGGTCTGTTCCTATGAGAACAGTGAAACAATCTGTACGATTGATGCATCTTGAAGACTTGGTCGAGAAACATTGTTAGAGGGAGAATGATGACTGAGTATTAACTCGTTCAGTTTTCATACACACTCACAAAATAGAAGAGACAGTGGAATTTAAGTTTAGATTGACACCCACAAGCCAGCCAGACACAGAGCAAAGTGAGAATGCTGTCCTTTTTGTCATATCATAAAGAACATCGGTATCATTTTCCAGTCCATTTGGGCCCTGGTTGTTATTCAAGGAAACCTTTATTGTAATAACATAATACAAGGTCTTACCTCGTGCCCTAATCTCACCTGTTTAGTATCCAGGTCTCCCTGCTGCAGGCCAGAGCCGCCCTCCGTTTGTCTGATTCTTGTGCAATGTCCGATTCTACAAACTTTTCCCATAAAAAGTTCCATTCAGCTTCTCCTCCATGAGCTACTGCGGTGCAGTAAACGGCTGATCTCAGGTTTGGATGGATACTATTATATACAAAGGTACAGACAGAGATATGTGTAAGAAAAGACAATTATAACATATGCAATAATCATCCATTGCGTGTTAAAAAAAAAAAAAAAAGATTAAATGGGAACAAAATGATTGCCTTGGTGAACACATCACAATAGATAGAATTATTTGGTCTAAGAAACATGACTCTACATCCTTCTCTGGTTAAAAAAAACCTCCTGGGATTACTGACATCTAAATACAAAAATGCAATCTGTGAAAACATACAAAAACCAACAACACATGCAAAAATTTACTATTTAGTAGGTACTGTTTTGGGGCTCTTGACAACCCTTAATTATGTGTAGCTGTGATATGAATTGATGAAAAGTCTCTACGCAACTTTAAAAAAAAAAAAAAAAGCGTAATTTGACAGTGATGATCATTTAATAATATTGTATCTGCACTAGCTGATTCAGATGTTATAATATTAACAATTATGTTTGCACACTTTAGTAAAAATTCATATTATCTTCTATAATTTGAAGTGTAAATAAGTAGTTCTTGGTTGCCAATGTCCCGTATGCTGAGGGTGCAACTAGCCCCGGCACACAATTAACAATATTTCTGTATGTGCAGTATTTCGAGCTGAAACACTGGGCTTACTGACTCCAACCACCATGACCAATTCAACTCACTCTCACTGATGTGGTCATGGTGGCTGGAGTTACCCTTTAACAACACAATTATTCATCTTCAAGGACCACATTAATCAACAAAAAAGCCAAGTAAGATGAGTTGGAAAGTCCCCAAAACAATTATTAATCCTTTTCAGCCCAGGTCACCCAAACACTTATACCATGTGCCTTATACATTGAGGTGAGGGTTAGTTCTATGGTAATTTAATGTATACAGTGGGTCACTGGATCCACCAATACATTGTGGAAAGTAACGTCACCTCTTTCCTCCTCAAACCAAGGGGGTGATGAGTGAAAAATTTAAAGCAGAAGTCCAAAGAACCCCTTTTCTACACAATACTGAATATAATTATCCCCCATGACTCTTTACCCTATTAACAATTTAGCGAAGTTCTCCGCATTAAAAATAGCTAAACGAATTGTCCTGCATACAATAGATATGACGGATATTAAAAATGGTAGAATATAAAGTTAGGAAGTGTCGAAGTGGGCACGAAACACGTCAGATTTATTCGCCTGCTTCCCCCTCTATACCTAAGCTATGAGGCGATTACTTGAATAAAGGTCCCCATTTTTCCCAGACCTAGTGGATTAAAACTTTATTTCTTATTCTTGACAAGGGATCTGGGATTTTTGTACATCTAGTTGACATGACAAAAAAAATTAAAATAGGTGAATATCTGAACAGATCATCTGTTACATACTCACGAGTGGAGTGAGGCAAAAATAAAGAATAAAAAATAAAATTAAAATAAAATTAGTTAAATATCCTAGTTATGTGATTTGTAAAAATCCATTCTGGGGATTCCAGGTAGGATTTTTGGTCTGCTTGGTGTTTTCCAAGCCATCTTTCCTCTGTTCTCCTGGTTTTATCTAAGAAGTTGCTGTAGTTTTTGGAAGTGTGTTCAAAGTCTTCCTTACTCACTGATTGTATGCATGCAGCCAGTGACGTACACACAATCTCTCCCTCTTCCCGCCCCCCTTTCCCCTCCCCCCAACAGACACACACACACACACATATACAGACACACATACAAACATACATACATACACACACAGACACATACAGACAGACAGATACATACAGACACACAGAGGTGGCTCTAGACTTTATGAGGCCTTAGGCGAAACTCAAACATGAGGCCCCACTAACAAAAAAGTGAAGGGGGTAATAGTGAGGGGGTGATGCTGAGGGTGGTGAGGGGAGGTGATAGTGAGGGGGGGTGATAGTGAGGGGGTGATGAGGGGTGATAGTGAGGGGGTGATGCTGATGGGGGTGATAGTGGTGGGGGTGGTAGAGAGGGGGTTGATGCTGAGGGGGGATGATAGTGAGGATGGTGAGGGGGGTGATACTGAGCGGTGATGCTGAGGGTGGTGAGGGGGTGATAGCTAGAGGGGGTGATGTGAGAAAAAGGGGGGAGACAACATACTCTTTCTTCCCTGGTGGTCCAGTGGGTTCCCTGGTGGTCCGGTGGCCATTGCTTCTGGTCAATCTCGCAAGACAATCAGAGTGTTGGAGTGGTAACCTGCGGCAATGCTCTGATTGGCCAGTTCTCGCGAGCAGGCCCGGACTGGCCATCGGGCATACCGGGCAAATGCCCGGTGGGCCGCGATGGCCGTGGGGCCGAGGCCGGCAGGGGAGATCACAGAATCTCCCCTGCCAGCCCGTGCAGGGCCAGCGCTATCTGAGCGCCGGCCCCGCTGTGTGCCTCCATGGGCCGGTGGGGAGATCAAAGATCTCCCTCACCGGCCCAGAGGGAGGGAGGGAGGAGAGAGGACCCGGCGGAGCTCTAACAAACAGCTCCGCCGGGTCCTCTCGCGAGATTCTGAGCGTTGCCGCGGTTACCACGGCAACGCTCAGATCTCGCGAGAGTGAACTCTAACCTGCAGGTTAGAGTTCACTCTCACCACTGGGCCACCAGGGAAGCATGACAGAACGGATCTCCTCCCCCCTCCCAGGATAAAGGTAGAGAAGAAGGGAGGGGGGAAAATATATATATATTTTTTTTTTTATTAGTAAAAAAAAATATTTAAATTTAAATAAAAAAATACATTCACTCACAAACACAGCACCCCCCCAGCACCCCCCAGACACAGCACCCCCCCAGACACAGCCCCAGACACACACAGCCCCCAGACACCACAGCCCCCAGACACACACAGCACCCCCCCGACACAGCCCCCAGACACAGCACCCCCAGACACAGCAACTCCCAGACACACACACAGCAACCCCAGACACAAGTCCCCAGACACAGCACCCCAGACACAGTTAACCCGAGACACACACAGTTAACCCCGACACAGCCCCAGACACACAACCCCAGACACACAGCACCCCAGACACACACCCCGACACACCTGACACACACACAGCACCCCCACACAGCAACTCACACAGCCCCAGACACACACAGCAACCCCGACACACACAGCACCCCGACACAGCCCCCAGACACATAACCCCAGACACACCACCAGCAACCCCCAGACACACAGCACCCCAGACACACACAGACCCAGACACATACGACCCAGACACACAGCACCCAGACACACACACCGCACCCACAGACACACCGCACCCACAGACACAGACCGCACCCACAGACACAGACCGCACCCAGACACACACAGCACCCAGACACACAGCCGACCCAGACACAGCACCCAGACACCGCAACCCAGACACACACAGCACTCAGACACACACAGCACCCAGACACACACACAGCACTCAGACACACACAGCACTCAGACACACACAGCACCCTCAGACACACACCGCACCCAGACACACACAGCACCCTCAGACACACACAGCACCCAGACACACACAGCACCCACAGACACACACAGCACCCTCAGACACAAACAGCACCCTTAGACACACACAGCATCAGACACACACAGCATCCAGACACACACATCACCCCCAGACACACAGCACCCTCAGACATACACAGCACCTAGACACACACATCACCCTCAGACACACCGCAACCCAGACAACACACCACCCAGACACACACTGCACCCAGACACACACTGCACCCACAGACACACACAGCGCACCCAGACACACACAGCACACCCAGACCACACAGCGCACCCAGACACACACAGCGCACCCAGACACACACAGCGCACCCAGACTCACACAGCACCCA